CAGTTAAAAGAAAAACGATTTGCTCATTTGGTAATAACTAATGGAGGCATGAATTACGGAGATGCCCCAGACCGAAGTTTATCTCAGTGAGTATAAATCTCTAAACAACTGCGGTGAAACGAAGCACTGCCACCATTACTTCTTTTTATTTCCATATTAATCAAAGGCATCTGCTCGCGGTAGGGCGAAGGGACAGTGAGCTCTCCAGCACCTGAAGGCCCTGGGCCGGGGCGCGCGGCGGCGGTTTCGCCCGGGGTGTCGGGGCCGGTGCTTCCCCACCAGACCCGCGGGCCCTGCGCGCAGGGCGCTTACTTTACGCACTTGATGTATGACTCCTCCGGCTGTTTTGCTCCTGTCTCCCCGGTGCCCCTCACGGTGCCTGGCACATCAGAAAGTGTTCACTGCTGAAGTGGAGTAAGATTAATTAGGAGAAACTCCAAAGGAAATAAAGTGAAGGCTGACGTTGCTGGGGATGCTGGGTTCACGGGTCGAGATGAATTTCCTCGTGCTTTTCGGGGTAGGTGGGAGGCAAATAACCGGGAGGGGAAGGGAGCCTCGGTTGACTGTGCCCGCCCGACCTCTGCTCCCCCGCCCGGAGTGAGGGATGCCGCCAGGGGCTGAAGCTCCTGCTGGGCGCCGCAGCTCTGCGGCGCGCAGGGGTGGGGGTGGGGGTCTCAGAACCCCGCCTCTGGAGTCCTCCAGGGCCCCAGGGAGATGGGAGGTTCTGGAGAGGCGGCGTCCCCAGAATCAGGGCGCAACAGCTCCTGCGCGCTCCCAGGTGCCCCGCAGTGAACGCGAGGGAAAGACGGGCCCTGATCGAGTCAGAACCCTAAAACTTTCGGGGACAGCTGTCTCAAGTTGCCTCGCAGACCCTCCGGCGCTGCTCGCTCCCTGCCCTTCTCGGGCGCTAGATGCCTGACTGCTAGGCTTGCGCCCGAGCCCCAGGGCGCCGCAGGGAAACCCAGGCCTGAGCGCCGAGCGCCAGGGTCTGCTCACCGCCCCTGAGGACTCGGCCTCCGCGGGCCACTTCGGGGTGTGTGGAGTTTTCTTGCCCGAGGGCAGGCTGCGGGACAGAGCCCACACTTTGGTACAGAATTGGGGACAGGGCCGGGGGTTGGATCAGAAGCAGAGGCTCCGCGCCAGGGGTCGTGGCCTGGGTGCCCCGCCGAGAGCCAGGCTGTTGGGTCCCCCTTGAGGGTCCGCAACGAGCCACCGCGGCTGGGGAAGGCGGCGCAGCTGGGCCACCGGGGCCAACGACGACCCGATCTCCTTGGCCACGTTTACAAAGTGCCAGCACCGGGCTGGGCTCGGGGGCGCAGGGCACAGAGAGCGAAGAGCGCGCCCGCACCGCTCGGGTCGGGTTTGGATTTGTCGGTTGTTACTGTTGCCGTTTTCTTCCTCCCAGTTTCCATAAATGCTGAGCTCATTTGAGTCTCTACAGGAGTTTACGCAGCCTGGTCCGGGCCTAGCGCGGGGATGAGTCTCTGGCACCTTCCTCCCGTCGCCTGCAGAGCCCACAGCCAGGAGTCGGGGCCCGGGGTCGGGCGCGGAGACCGGCGAGGCGCAGGGGGCGCAGCCCCAACCCCGGGACCCCAGTTCCGCGCGGAGCTGGAGCCTCGGCGCCGCCGCTCTCTGTTAGGCCCCGGAGGCGGAGGCGGGTGCGGGGCGGTTCCCGCTGCGTGGGACGC